GGGATCCTGGGCCAAGCCAGTCAACTAGGCAAATGAAACCGGACCGCTCCAGCTAAAATGTGAGAGTCTGCCTCAATAAATAAAAAGTGTAGAGTGACTGAGGAAGGCACCTGCCGTCCACTTCAGGCCTACACTCCCGTGTGCACCCACATACATGCACACACACACACACACACACACACACACACACAGAGTCGACAGGCAGACTTGGAGAAGGCCTGCAAGATATTGAAGAAGCTGAAAATTTACTGCTGTTGGTAACTAATCAGTACTGTGTTACTAAATGCCCAATTAACAAGAAAATTAATAAGAAAAAGACAGCCTGGGCTAGAAAGATGGCTCCGTCGTTAAAGGCTAGGCTCACGAGCAAAAATATAATAGAACAACAGCCCAATACAGCTACAGGCAGAGGGTCTGAAAAGCATGTGGGCAATTACTACTCACAACCCTGTAGCAATCAGATTGTCAGAAATGCAGCTTAACCCTTATTTACCAAATACAGGGGAAAAGTACAAGTATTAAAAATCACTCTGTCCATTATCTATGAACATTTGTATGATAAAGGAACCAAGGTTTTGGGTATATTTATATAAATTTTAAATAGCTATCTCTTAAGATGATTATAAAAATACTCACTGCAACCAGACTTCTGACAGTATATAGCCTGAACATGCCTGTTACATTGTTACATTTATTAAAATTACGAAACAAATATAGCATATATTGTTTTTTTAAACATCAGTGTTTATGTCCGTATTTCAACATTTTAAAACAGCTAGAGCTAGCGAACAAAAAAGCACAAAAGCAATGCGTACTCAAGCAACCTCTGTGAAGTGTTTTCCAGGTGATCTTCATTTTCTTCATGTTTTCCTTATTTTCTTCAGTGTTGACGACTAACATGAAAATTATTTAGTTACTATCATAACTTAAGGTCAAAATAAAACATCTAACATGTATCAGAGAAGTAGGTATTCCCTGCCTGTATTTCATGTGTAGTGAGTGGGAGGACAGAGAGAGTAGGGAAAGCTAATTCTGAAAGGGCAAACCAGGGTTCCCACAACGGTGGCCAAGTGGGCCCCAGGACAAGTGTCAGATGGCCAGTCCAGCAGATGAAGACTTCAACCCAGCAACTGACAACCCCCACCCAATTTCCACTCCATTTCTTATTAGGATTTAATATCCTTGTGAATGCGTCGTCTTCTAAGAGAAATTAGCTGTGGCCCAAGCCAAGGAAGTTATTTTTGAAAAAAAAAAAAAAAAAAAGCAAACTCTGATTTCCTTCTCAGTATATCTCTGAAAAGATAAACCACATATTTACCTCTTATCCCAGGAGGCGCCCTGAAGGAAGATGGTAGGGGCTCTTCGTTACCCGTTAGTGCTCTCAAAGAAAGATGAACATGCAGAATTTTCAGGAATTTCCCCAAAGACAGCTGTTCCTAGGAAACCATCCCTGCCCTCTCTGTTGACTCAGACTACCAGGAATGCAGAAGCAGAGCCACATCTGTTCAAGTGCATATTCTCCACAAGCCGTACTCCTCGTGAGAGCTTACTGAGTCTCTTCTCAGCAGCACAGGCTCTGAAAGCTGAGCAGCCCAGGAAGTGTGCCGCTGCAGTGATGGAATGCCCTAACTGACCTTTCTCTTTTCTAAATTTCCTAAGTAGCTGATTCCACAGTGTCCTGCTGACAGTACTCTTGTAATTAGTTACAAGTAGGGTCAAGGTACAAGTCTGCCTTAATTATCCACAAGCTATCACAGTACCATGCTGCTGAGTCTCTCAGTGAGCAAGATCTTTAGTAAACCCCTCCAGCAGGGATGGGTGATATAATTTTCTTTTAAGTGTCCACCATTTAAACCATGGATCTTCAAGATTTAGGACATCAAGAACAATGTTCCAGAATCTTTGGCCTCGTTACTACCTGGCGGAAATTTTTAGCTGAAATCATACAGATGTATTTCAAAGAAGGAAAAAATAAATAAATAAAGATAACTTTTGAAAGAGAAGAGGTCAGCCATCTGAGAGGAAAGGAAGTTGGACACCTGTGCCTATAAAGCAGGCTCTCCCTCTCAGGGAGAAAGAGCCTGAGACCAGGCTCAAAACAGAGGGCCTGCAGCAGAAAGGCTGCACAGGCTTCAGAGGGGAAATCAGTGTTTCTGAAGAAGCAAATGAACACACGCCTGCATAGTCCACACTGGATGGAATGCTGTATTCTGCTTTCTTTAAGTGTCTGGGTCTGGAGCAGTAGCTCTGAGGTTAAAAGTGTTTGCTGCTATTCCACAGGTCCTTAGTTTAGACCCTGGCATCCTCTTCAGATAGCTGAGGACCACCTGTTACTCCAGCTCCAGGGATTAAAAGACCCCTCTGGTCTCTACAGGCACTTACACACACACACACACACACACACACACACACACACACACACAAATAATTAAAAAATAATTTCTGGAACTAAAGTTACTTTTCTGCATAGAGGACACACGAGTGCTCCAAAAAGTCACTTCACTCCTCAAAAGTGATACTCAGAACTTACAGTCTAAGCCCCAGGTGAAGAGAGTGCTGAGAGTCAAACTGGTTTTCCTTTACAACTGTTTTTACTCACAAACTATAGCCACAAGAAGCCAGCTGGTTGTTGTCCCCCCCCCCCAGTAAGTTTCAAAAACAGTATTAATTTGGGTTTCATATCTCTGACAGGGAAGCCACTGGGCAGAGATTAGTTTCTAAATCTATTCATCCTGACTTTCAGTTCTGCTCAAAATGTGGCCCAATCTTCTCACTTTGTTGTCAGACTTCAGCATTATATTTTTATAAAATATAAAATCCTCCTTGAGAGAAGAGAATGCAAAAGCCTCAATATGGAAGGTTTCATAAAAGGCTCCTGGTTTTGGAAAGATCCTGGCTGTAGAACCTGGCCTAGGGAAGGTTTGCCAAATGAGAAGTGTCAAGGAAGGTTCAAGTCAACTGGTGTTTACTGTCTCTTGGGGTTTACAGGGGAAGATGAGCAAAAAACCTAGCAGAACTCACACTCTAGAAGGAAAACCATCAAATTTCCCCAGACATATACTGTGGCTTAGCATATGGACACCATGAGTAGCTCCTGACAGTGCAAATTTCACGCCTACTTCCTGAGAGAGCTATGTTCTTCGTCTCTTGTACATAAAATAACAGAATTTGCATCCTGATACCCACAGGCAATTTCTCCCACCTCTTGTATCACCTCTCTTCCATCCTCAATTTACAATGTGACAGTCTCCTCTTCCCACCAGTACTGGACAGCTGGATACCTGCCTATGGTATATTTCACATCTACAGGCCTTCAAAAGCTGTTTCCAGGCGCACTGCTTCTGAAGACACAGAATGCGTCAAAAACCATGTAAGCCCTGAGTGAAAAATGCCAAATAAAAATAAAGTTGAAGGCTCTGTATCACATCCAACATGAACACAGCCATTCTCCAGGCCAGACAGTGAGCGCATAAGCCCAGAGGCATTGCTCCTCAGTTTTTAGGACCCTTTGTTTAGAGATAAGACAGAGGAGGAGGTGTGCAATTTCTACCCATCTGGCTTATTAAAAATAACCTTCTCTACTTTCAGATACGTAGCTTGTAGATTGAACGACATTAGCCATTTTGGTCTGACATTCACAACTCGCTACACTTGTCAAGAGTTGCACCCATTTGTTTCCTTTTTGCGGAAGCGTGTGTATTCATGCATATACATATGTGTGCACAGGTGTTGTGCATGTGGGGACAACCTTCGGAGTCAACTTCAGGAACAACACAGACCTCCCCTGACCTGGTCTCTCACTGGCCTGGAGCTCTGAAATTCGGGGGGACTGGCTGACCAGTGAACTTTGGAGGTCCTCCTGTCTCCTGCCCCTCCTGCGTTAAGATTACAGGCACCAAGTATTTTCTCCGGGGTGTTGAAGCTCCAACTCGTTCCCTGAGCTTGCAAGGAACTACCTCTCCAGCCCTACCAAAGGTGTTTTATAATTCAAAGTTGCTATTTCAAAGGTCTGAGAAATCTCTCCTACCCTTGCAGAAAATTATCCATTGGGTAGCCATCATAGACTAAGTAAATTCCCCTCTGATTGAGTTTTCCTTGCTGGCCTTGAGAGCACCTTGTTGGGAAGGCAGGAGCCGCTCCCTGCTGCCTTAGAAAACTTTAACAGCCCACCACTATTTGTTTTAAGAGCAGTAAGCAGGAGCCAAAGGCCACTTTGTCCTCATCTCCTGGTTCAGCTGCACCGCTTCAAACTCAAAGGAGGGGCCTGTCTGGCAGAGTCACCTGGCTTAACTGAACGCCTTTTCATAGAGCTGGGGAACGCAGGGTTGACCACACTGTAACCCTCCCCCCTAAGAAGAGGCCTGTTTGTTCCGGAAGGCAAAACCCTGCCTTATTGAACTAAATGCAAGCAGTCAGTGTTAGCCTGCCCAAGGCAGCAAGAATGGTCTGGAAGAGCCAAGCAGGATCTTTTCAGACACCTATCTCCAGAAAAAAACCTCCCCTGGACAGTATCCTGAAAACCTCTGATATCTCTCTGGCTCCTTTGCCTGGGAAACGCTCAGTTGCGGGGCTAGCCTTTCACCATCGGAACTTTCCAGGGCTCCGGGGACCGGAGGAGCTGGAAAGTAGGTTCACTGTGCACCCCTTTCCCACCCCGCGGGACAGCGGTCCCCAAATGGAAGCCTTAGGGTAGCCAAAGCCTCTTACCCTTCCGGGGAGCTCTGATCTCAGCCCGGGGGACTCCGCGGAAAGACGGTTGGGTGCACCCTGTTCGCTACGCGTGGCTCCGTTCTTCCGCCACTCCCCCGCGTCCCCACCCGCGGCCACTGCCTTCCTCCAGAGCTGGGCGACCCAGGGCTACGTGGCCGCGAGCTGGGGCAGGAGGCAGAATGGGGGTCAAGTGTGGGCGCAGGGGACCCCGCGGCTGGAGCAGTCCCCGAAGGGAAGACTGCTGGAATCGAGAAGGCGACAAGACGTGGCGTCCCCAGGGAATGACTAACCTGTGCTGGGGGCCCCAAGCCGGGTCCGGGGCTCGATCCCACGCAGGCAGGTCCAGGGTCTCCTGGCCTCCGGGCATGGCGCGATCGCCACTGCAGAGCGGGACTCCAGCACCTGCCTGGCCCCCTAGGTCCCCTCGATCCCCGCGGGCCCGACACCTGGCTCCGCCTGCGGGTGTCGGCGGGAGGCAGGCGGAGCGGATGCCCTTATCAAGGGAAGTCCTCCGAAGAGCCTACTGCGTGGCCGCCCGTCGTCCACCCCGCCCCCGGCTGCCCCGCCAGCCCTGCCCTCCGCCGCCCCCGCTGCCCCCATCCCTTCCCAGACCTGTCCAAAAATTGTGTTTGACTCCTTCAGACATTCATTGCATTTGAGCGCACTATGTGGCCCGGGCTGGCCTCGAACTCAGAGCGATCCTACCGCCTCAGCATCTTAAATACTAGGATTACAAGCATGTGCCACCAACGCCGGGGTTTCTTTGGCCAGTTTCTTTGGAAGTGTTGAGCACTGGTATTGTGATCTACCGGATGCGTAAGTTACCCCTCCTCACTCTAGGAATCAAGTTCGTGGGGACAGGAGTCTTTATTCTGATCACTTCCTGACAAGGAGTTAGGATAGCACCGCAAGCTTGTGGAAAGCCAGGCGCCTGGCACCGGAGAGGACCCTCTGCGGGCAGAGTCTGCATGACCCCTGGAGAGCTCAGAGCAGCAGACCCCTAGGGCCACTCTGCCCTTCCCACTTGCTGCTGGAAAGCAGGAGCTTCATCACAACGCGTCTCCACTCCTAAAGCAGGCTACAACGCTCCACCTGAAGTTGACAGAACCGGCCCAGACCCTCCTGTCTTCACCAGGCAGCCTCACGAACCAAACCCTCAATTTTTCGGGCTTTGTGCATCAGTGGGTGTCCAAAAGGTCCCCAGGTTTAACTAGGGCAAAGGACAGTTTGTAGAGGATTATGTAGAAACATTGGAGAGCACTATGGGTGTAGAAGCCTTATCGACTCTTTTTGAAAGGTTTTGTTTTTTGTTTTTTAACAGCTTATGTAACTAACGCAGGCTGGCCTCCAACTTCCAGTGAAGCTAGAGCTTCCGATCCTCCTGCCGCCACATCATAGATGTGGCTGGTGTTAAGGCGTGCTCTGCCCCCGCCCCATCCCACTCTACCCCCACAGAATCTACTCTTTTAAAAGTCACTTTCCAGACACTATTAGATAAACATGCTTCCCCCCTCCCCACCCTCAGAATTCCTCTTAGTAGACATGCTCAGTGGTAGAGAGAGCTTGGGAGAGTCTGAGAAGTAACACTGCCCAGGCTTCTGAACAACGTCCCCACAGGAAATGGCTAGGTGGGGCCAAAAAGATAGTTAAGGAAGTAAAGATGCTTGTAGCCAGTCCTGACCCCAGCACCACCCGGCAGACAGAGAACCCCCTCCAGCCAGTGATCGACCCGTCTCCACAGCCATCTGGGGTGTCTGTGTGGCGTCCCTCTCCCCACCACAAAATAAAGACTTTTCTGGGAGAGACAGACACAGAGACAGAAAGAGAACAAGGTCAGAAAAGTTTCTTACTACTCCAAAGTCGCCCACGAAGAAGCTAGCCGAGCCCATCTTTCTATTTAGGTCTTTGACTCCAAAACCTTTGCGCTCACTACATCCACCCACTGACAGATACATCATTAAAACGTTTGCAGATGTTCGGTAGCTTTCTTCAACTGAAGGTGTTTCTCTAAACAGGTTCCCGCCTGTGACAACCTAGAAACAGTTTCACAGGTGGAGAAAACATGGAATTTCCTAAATAGTTGTAAAAGATAGTTATCTAGGCATGCCATCCCTAGTACCTCAGCTGAATTCCTGGCACTCTGGTTCTTAAAACTTTTCTGTCCCCTTTTCCAAGATGTTCCCTGAGCAGTCGGTGCCGAAGTATCCAGTATCTAATCCAAAGTAGTCAGCCCTGGAATCATACATACAAAAGCCATATTAAAATGGACTCAATAAGATATGTAGAGAGATATGATCATCAAAAAGAGAGAGAGTAAGAAAGGAGTTGGAGGAGAAACAAGAAAGGGAGAGGTAATGTTATATTTTAATTAAATTTTTAAAATTAATTTTGAAATTTGAAATTTAAAATTTAATTAATCTTGATCTCCTGGAGTAAGAGTTACAGGAAGTTTTGTGGGTGCTGGGAATAGAACTCAGCCATCTGTCCAGCCTGCAAATTCTCACAGAGCTCCATAAAGGAGAAACTTCCTAAAGGGGGGGTGCTGGGTCCCAGTCCTCAGGAGGCACCCAGTGACTCCCAAACTGACTTGCTGAGAGCAGGCAGTGCTCTGCACCCCAAACAGGAAGCCAGCACAGCACCACTCCTAAACAACCACCTGCATGTAGGAAAGAGCTGTGGATAGAGAAGAGGGAAGAGAAGAGAGAAGGAACAGTTGGAACTGGATGGCTAGAGGGTTCGGGGACATGAACTGGTTTCCGGCACCCATTGAGCCACACTCGACCATCAGTTCACCAAAGTCTCTTGTGTGCAGTGCAGATGGGGCTCATTTGTCTCTGGATAGCAACAGGCATTGTTTTGTGCTGTGTGTTGGTCGGTCCTTTCAGTCACAGGTTTCTGCTTTGCATACCCGACTTCAAAGTTTGTGTCTTAACTCAGCTTTGTCACGACATGAGAATGTTTTGTTCAGCCCTGTACTATGTCTCATATTGCATTTCAGGCTTACCAGTCACAGTCATGAATTTCTCCAGCAGGTTTCCTTCTTACGCAGTTTCATGATTTTGCTATGATGAAAGGGATTTTTTTTTTTTAAGTCATCTAGAAAATGCGAGCCAGGATAATGGTAGACCTGCAACAATTTTATCACAGGTGACTAGAGCAGTGTCTGCTGGGAAGTCAATGTGGAGACAGAACACAGGAAAACAACAGGGAAATGCGCCTTTTATTTATGTAGTTTCACATCCTTCTGACTTTTGTTGATGTGCTTTGAACTTCTATGTATTAATCTTTTTTCTATTTTTAAACACTGTAAATGCATTTTTTTTTCTGCCCTTAATCCCTGAACTAGGTCCTCCTTGGACTGGGTCTTTCCTTTTGACTTTGAAGAAGCAGCATGATATCTATCTTTATGAGCTGAGTGCTCCTGATGTCTGGAAGGAAGTTTACTCTTGAGAGCCACAGGTATTCTGTATTCTCTGTAATAGCTCAGTTTTATCTGCCATGTCAAGTTCTGTTGTGTTCAACTTCATGCATGGGGTCAGGGGGTGGGTGGCTCAGCTTTTCTGCAGAAAGTAATCCAGCTCAGCAAAAATAGCCTGTAACTCTGGGTTTGGTGATCTTTCTGTTAGAAGGGCAGTGTTTTTCAGCTTTGTAGATGTCACTGCCTCTGTTTCTACTGATCTGTGATTTGAACACTGACACAGACAAGATGGAAATAAGCAAAAGAATGGTTTTGCTTCTCCAGTCATAGAAATGTTTATTTTTAAAAAAATAGAAAAAATAGATAAAAAATAGATTTTGTATTTTGTTTCTTAGAACAGATATATATTCAAAGTGAAATTTTTTAAAATATTTTTTTATTTTTAAATAATTTTATACATTCACTTGTATCCCAACTGTAGCCCTCTCCCTCTTTCCCTCCCAATCCTCCCCTCAAAGTGAACTTGAGCAGAAAGCACAGAAGATTCCCAGATGCTCTCTGCCTCCCCCACAATCAGCACCCCACATTAGAGTCACCCATTGCCTGAATCACTGAACTCCCCAGCAGAAAGCACATTCTCTCCAGCCAGCGGACCTGTTGGCACCATGACTGTGGCCATGCTAGTTCCAGAACTGTGAAACATGATGGTTTCCTATTTGGTTTAAGCTACTGAATCCTTACCACTATGTCATAGCAGCTGGAACTGACTGGACATTCACCCTGACAACTCTCTGTGTATGATCTGCTAACCCCCATCTCCTGTAATCCCTAGAAATGCGATCTTCCTGCTGTCTCTGTCTTTCCTCTCTAGAATGCCATAGGATTGGAATCCCACAGTGCATAGCATTTTCAAGTTAACTTCTTCTGCTTCATTGTACGCAATCAAGCTTCTCCCACATCCCTTCATATCCTGCTAATTCACTATTTTTTAGCACTGGATAATATCCTACTGGGTGGACATACCACAGTTACTTATCCACTCACCTTCTCAAGAGCATCTTGGTTGCTCTAACATTTTAAATGTTGAATCGAGCTCCTTTAAGCATCTGTGTGGACATTGTTTTTTGTTTGCCATTTAATGCAAGCATGTTTCCAAATCCTTTGGGTGAATACTGAGAGGCACTAGTCCTAACTGCTGCATTGTATGCCATGAAAATACAGTTTTGTAAGAAACCATCTATATTCTGTTTTGAATTCTCCTAATAAGCAAGATTGTACCCTCACCAAGGTTTGGGACTTTAAATGTTTTGCATTTTGACTGGTATAATGATGTCATTCGCAGTTCTCTCATGGAATGTAGTGTAGAGGATCTGTCATGTGTTTGCTTGCCATCTGAATTCTGTCTTTAGTAAACATTTTCTCCAGGTATTGCCACCACTTCACAGAGGTAGTCTGTTTCTTGTTGAGTTTTGAGTTCTTTGTGTATCATTAGCTCTGGGGTTTTGCAAGTATTTTCTGCTACTCATCTCTTTCTTTTGTTGGTGTCTTTTGCAGAGCATTTACTTCTCTTTTAAAGGATTGTTGTTAATTCAATTTATTTAATAAATAGGGCCTCATTCAAACTCTCAATTCCTTTAGTTCCAGTATTTGGGAGGCAGAGGCAGGCAGAGCTCCGTGAATTTGAGGACAGCCTGGTTGCATATCAGCCAGGCCAACATAGTTAAACTCTGCCTCGAAATAAATAAATAAATAAATAGATAGATAGATAGATATACAAGTAAATAAATAAATAAATAAATGAAGAAAAGGAAGGAAGGAAGGAAAGAAAGAAAATAAAAAAAGAAAGAAAAATGTCAAACTATTTTCCCTCATGTGGATTTAGCAATTACACTTAGTTCATCTTCTGTTACCATAACAGGAGTACCTGACACCATGTAATTTATAAAGCAAAGAGTTATATATGGTTCAAGGTCAAAAAGTCCAGAAGCACACTACCAACCTCTGCCTGGCTTCTCATGAGCACTTTATGCTGCTTCTGTGAGAAAACAGAAGGAAAAGGAGGGACATGCACAAAAGAAAGGAAACAGGGACAAACCTTCAGGATGACTGAAAGCATAGATGAGGAAAACATATCCACTCATAAAGCCTCCATCCTCCAAACGCCTCCCGCTAGGCCAGGCTCCCAGCACATGGGCCTAGGCTGGGAGAGCATAAACTGTTAATTTTTCAGCTCTACCCCATGTTCACGTACTTCTTATTATGAAACTATGTTTATTTTGTCCCAATAATCCCCAAAATCTCGGCTAGTTCCAGAATCAGTTTTCAAGTCCTTTGTATCACTGAGACTCAAGGCAAACTCCTGTCAAGTATGAGGTTGTAGAATCCGGACAAGTCATCGCCTTTGACATGTAAAAACTGGACAAGCTTAGGGTGGACAATGATTCCCAACTAGAAGCAGGGGCCAGGGGAGTGGCACCCAGTAGAATAGACATTACACATTAAACTTCTAGAACCTTCTTTTACTCCAAGCCCAGGGTGGAGGGTGTGTTCCCAAGACTGCAGGCAGCTCTGCTCCCACAGCTTGGTGGGGCTCAGTCAACACGGCTACTATCTGGGGCGGGGGGCAGGGATGTCTTCACTGAACTATGAGTGGCTTGTCATTTTAGGAACCACACCTGCGGCCCCAGCGCTTCCTCTGGACAGTGGCCTGATGTAGACTCTGCCACCTCCTATCCTGGCAGGTCCCCAGCTCCTAGATCTTTTGAAGTTCAGATCAAAGGCTCCACACCCCCATAACCCCTGCATTCCGCTCTGCGTTCTGCTGAGCGGGTACCACACTGTTCACTTACCTGCTCTTTGCTGCAGCAGGAGGCACATCTGGACCCAGTTGAAGCACAGCAGGCTTACTGACTGGGCGCTTTGGCTATATGACCACAGGCACACCTGGATACAGTTGAGCCACAGATGGCTGTGGCTGGACAGAGCTACAGTGGGATCCAGGGAGCAGAATCCTTGAGCCACCAGAAGTGATAAGGCCATGGAGGATACCCCAGCCAGTCCTCCTGGAATTAGTCTGCCCCTCTGAGATTCTGGGCTCTGGAGAGAGAGGCAGATGCAGTGACTTTTGAAATTGCTTTGGGGCCTTTCCCCTTTGCTCTGATTGGTAGGACTTAATTTGTTTGTGCTTGGCCTGACCTCCCTCACAAACAGCAGCAATCTCTGTTGACCATGGTTTTTGACTCCTGAATGACTAGGCTATTAATTTTTCCGGTTTCGATGCTGTGTTTCTCGTGTGACTATGACTTCCAGTGTTAGCTGTTACATCCCATAAATGGTAAAGAGAGGCCTGGGAGTATCTGAGGAGCTCTTCAGCATAGGTGGGTCTTCTTCCAGATATACGATGTTGTCCCCTTGTCTCCCACAAGGCAGAGAAAGCACTCACATAGCCCCTTTCCTTGCAGCTATATAATAGGACAGCTTTCACTCTGTGTCCCTGGAAGACATTCTCATTTCTACCTACAACCCTATTATCACGGCCTATGTTCCCCCACAGTTTCATCAGTATTATGGCCACAATCATTTTAGTCCCACACGGTCCTTCATCTCGTGTTTTCCTGAGCTCTCCCCAGAATCATCCCAAGTGTTCTCTATACGACAACCAACTCCTTTCCTGCTCTCGCTGCAAAGCTGCTGCGGCCTGGGCCTATTAGCCACTTCAGCTACTGCTTCCACTTGGTCACGTGTTGCTAGAACAAACCTCTACTGCTTGCTTCCAAAGTTCTCCACCCTTCCCTGGCTATAACAGAGTGCCTGAAACTGAGCAACTCACAAAGGAGAAAAGTGTGTTTTGCCTCATGGTTCTAGAGCTAATAAAGTCCAAAACCATCTCAGCTTCTGGTGGGGCCTCAGCTCATGAGAGGAACCAGGATAGCAAAGCACATGAGAAGAAGAAGAAAAAAGAAGAAGAAGAAGAAGAGACAGAGGGAGAGAGAAAGGAAGGAAGGAAAGAGGGAAGGAAGGAAAGAGAGAGAGAGAGAAAGAAACTGAAGGAAAGAAAGGAAGAAAGAAAGAAAGAAAGAAAGAAAGAAAGAAAGAAAGAAAGAAAGGAAGGAAGGAAGAAAGAAAGAAAGAAAGAAAGAAAGGAAGGAAGGAAGGAAGGAAGGAAGAAAGAAAGAAAGAAAGAAAGAAAGAAGAAGGAAAGAAAGAAAGGATGAAAGAAAATAAGAGGCCAAAGTCCTATGGCTGCTAGCCTATTCCATGAGAAAATCAGTCTGTTCCTGGGGGCTCCACTCCCATGACCCTAACACCTCCCATGAGGCCCCCAGTTCCCACTGTGGTCACATCAACAAATTCATTTTCTAACAGGTGAACTTTTAGGGAACCCATCCAAAGCATGGAAGAACTGGTCCATTTTGTCTAGTTTGTCGAGCTGTGCATGGAGATAAACAGAGCACCCTTGATTGTCCTTTTAATGCCACAGACTCCATTGTGATCGTCCCTTTATTTCTGAATATTAGTGATTTATGTATGCATTGCTTTCTTAGTTTGACTATAGGCTCATTAGCGTTACTGATCTTTAAAACAAAACATTTGGGGGTTTTATTGCTTTACTATTTTCTTGTTTGATGTTCTCGTTTTATTTTTTTCTTACCATGGATTTCCATGCTCTCTTGCTTTTATGATTTGCAAGGCAGATGTTTGGGTATTGAATTTTAGATATTTCCTCTCTTCTAACACATATATCCAATTCTGTACTCCACCCTGTACCATAGATCAGCTTTTACTGCATTGTACCATTTCTTTTACTTTCTGTTTGTTTTGAGACAGAGTCACTTTATGTACCCCTGGATGTCCTGGAATTCACTATGTAGAACTTTTAACTTCTCCTAACTTTTTTTCCAATTTCTGAGATTTTTTTTTATGTATGTGTGAATGCATGTACACATGTGTGTGGAGGCCAGAAGTTGATGTCAACAGTCTTCCATGGTTGCTCTCTGCTTACCTCATTGAGGCAGGTTCTCTCAACTAAACCCAGAGCTCTCCAGTACTGCTAATCTATAGCCAGATGTCTCCGTGTGCGGAGAAAAGCCCAGGCCCAACCTTGGCTTCACTGGCTCTGTGTTTTCTACAAAATATTGTTAGTCTAAAAACATCTCAGAAAGAGTAACAGTAAGGACTTCTCAGATAATAAACACAGTTTTAAAATTCATGTTGCATTCTAATACATTACAAAGAGCATGATGCCGGTGTTAGAACCAAGCCCGAACGCAGCCTCCTAAAAGTTGGGGACACAGCTTTAAGTCAGTTACCTCAAAGGTGGCTTCTACCACTGAAAGCCTCGCACTCCACCAGTGGGAATCGTTCTGATGATTAAATATGTAGCTTTAAAATGCTCAACCCCTATCCAGAAAGGCAAAGAGGATGGACATCAGAAGAAGGAGAAAAGAGGGAACAAGTCAGGAGCCTGACACAGAGGACCTCTGAAAGGCTTTGCCCTGCAGACTATCAATGCAGATGCTGAGACTTATGGGCAACCTTTGGGCAGAGTGCAGGGAATCTTAGAAAAGAAGTGGGAAACAGTAAGATCTGGAGAGAACAGGAACTCCACAAGGAGAGCAACAGAACAAAAAAAAAATCTGAGCACAGGGGTCTTTCCTGAGAGTGATACTCCAACCAAGGACCATGCATGGAGATAACCTAAGACCCCTGCACAGATGAAGCCCATGGCAGTTCAGTATCCAAGTGGGTTCCATTGTAATAGGAACAGGGACTGTTTCTGACAATGAACTCATTGGCCTGCTCGTTAATTACCTCCCTATGAGGGGGAAGCAGCATTACCAGGCCACAGAAGAAGACAACTCAGCCACTCCTGATGAGACCTAATTGACTAGGATCAGAAGGAAGGAAAAGAAGACCTCCCCTATCAGCAGACTTGGGGATGGGCATGCATGCAGAGGGTGGTGGAAGGGAGGGATTGGGACGAGAGGAGGGAGGGAACCACAGGGGGGATACAAAGTGAATAAAGTGTAATTAATAAAGAATTAAAAAAAGAAAAAGAAATAAATATGTAGCTTTGAGTGTTGGGTTATCTTCATTATGCCTCTAGTGCAACATGAAAGTGTTAAAATTTTTATTCTTTTTTAAGGTGCTTTTATAAAGTCATTATTATACACAACTGAATTAATGTTCACATTAATAAATATATTGCACACAAAATCAATGTTATACCATAAAAATCCCCATAATTCTCCATTAGTGGACCACAAAGTGTAAAGCTTAATTCTGTGCCTTTTCAAACTACACACACTCATTTTAAAATCTTGAGCATGGGTTCTAGAGCATAAATCTCCGGAATCGCAGGTCCTGCCTGACCCCACATGGCTTGGCTGAGACTGCGAGGAGCTGTAGAGGGCAAGGTGCGGCTCTAGTTTCCCCCCTGCCCCGCTGCTCATAAAACCACCACTGTTTGATGAAATACACGGTTGGCGCGCGTCCACTCTCATTCATGTACAGACTCTCTGTCAGCCTTGTGCCTTAACACTGAAGGGCAGAGAAAGCTTCTAAAGGATTGTGAGAATCAAATAACGACTGTCCTTCAGAGCCCAGCACCCCAGCACTGGCTGTGATGGGGTTCTCTCTCTTGCTCTGTTTTCTTTTAGGGGGAGAATCTAAGATGTAGCAATGTCAAATGTGTAATGGTTTTTCCAACTATCAGAGAGGAGCACTGGGTCATCCAAAGTCACCGATATTTTCCAGTGCAGGCACAAGCCGTACTCTGTGGTAAAGGGGGTATAGAGAACACACTTGAGATCCACAGCCACTAAGACAGAACAGTGATCCAGTAGCTTCCCTCATCAAACCAGTCATTTTAAAAGTGCTCCTGTGAGCAGAAAAGACACTAAATATTTTAAAATATATAAACAGGTCTTTCTATGTCATAGTTATGTGTTCGTTCAGAATACTAGTATCTGAACATACTTTTGCCTGATCACAAGTTATCTATACCATCTCTGCCTCAGCCACATGTTATGTTTTCCTCCAAAGCACAGAGAAACCCAACAGTTACTTTTTGCAGCAGCAGAATACAGAACCTGGAGGGTCATCTTCTAATCTGTATTTTCCAGAATTGGGAAGGTCTTTGCATTCCGCTATGAACTTTCGAAGTTCCGTCTCTGGGAAACCATCTTGCTGGTAGTGCTACAGAGGAAAATGGAAAAGTCCCCATTAAGAAGGCCCTCTTCAACAACTAGACTCAGAATGGCACATCTGTCCATGGAAAGGATTTCTCCAGAGGGACAGTTTGGCACTCCCAGGCATTTCTAGGACACAAGACCTCTCTGGAGCCACTCCTAGGCTAGATGAAAGTGAAATGGGCATGGAACTCTGTGTGCTCATTCTGTGATTGCTCCTCCCAGCCTATCTGTACCCACAGAGGCAGGTGACTTTTGTCCACACCCCTCTCCTGGGAAACACGTGGCAAGGTGCATCCTAAATGCTACTCCCAGTCAACCTGCAGCCTCATGATTTCCCAGACAGTGTGAAGGAAGTTCCTTGGGTGAAGACTGGTTCAGCCAGAACCCCAACCAATGTAGACTAATGGAGCCTGGCTGGAATCTAAGCAGTAAGCATCCGTCAGCTTCCACAGAGGAGCTCACAAAATTTTGCCTTTCTCGTATGTCATCTATTTTCTACACCCAATACCTACTGATACTTATTAGTCTAATAAAAGATTAGAAAATATACTTAAGAGTTGGGGACATAGAGTCCAATGGCACATGCCAGGCTCTGGGTTGGATCCTAACTACAACTAGCAATGAATAAATAAGGAAAAAAGAACTCTATTTTTAACACAGATACTGAGAAACAAGATGTCCAACATTCTAGAAATCCTGTCTCTCCTTCACTTTTTTCTTTTCCCTGCTTGTTAAACTGGAGTTCCATCTCTCCACCCCAACAATGCTCTCTGTCCTGGTACAAAGCTGCACCGTCACGACGACACATGTTCCAGACAGGCTTTTGACAAACCTACCTTAATCGTTTCGTATGTGTCCGTGATCAGCGCGATGAAAAGGCTCAGAATCATGTATATAAAGAGGCTGATGAATGAGTAGAGATAGATTCGACTGAACAGCCAAACCAGGTAACTTTTCTGCTGCATTTTTGCAAATGTGGAAAACATATCATCTCCGTTTATCAGAGAGAAAAGGCACTCAGAGACCCTGTTCAGGGAACGGAACTGGGGAGAGAAGGGGAGAGGAGTTAACATTGTTCCATGTTCCTCCATATGGGAGATTTGGGTTCATAACATCATCCTGAAATAGTCAGACCTGGTATCCCAGGTGACCATTTCCCAACAACCAACCCAAGGTAGCCACAGCCCTTGCTTTGGTGCAAATGCCATATCCCAGCCTGCTGCTTTGTCTCTGGACAAGTAGCTTTCTTGGTGCTCCTCTGAGCTACAGAAGCCAGAATAAGATCAGAAAGGCCAGTTCTGCTCTCTCAATGCCTTTCAAGGTTGATCTTTTCCTTACCCTCCCTTACCCTCCCTTCCCTTCCCTTCCCTTCCCTTCCCTTCCCTTCCTTTCCCTTCCCTTCCCTTCCCTCCCCTCCCCTTTCCCTCCCCTCCCCTCCCCTTTCCTCCCCTTCCCTTTACTTCCCATCCTTTCCCTTTCTTTCCTCTCCTTTCCCCTCTCCTCCCTTTCCCCTTCTCCTCCTTACCTTCCTGTCCTTTCCCTCTTTCTGGTTTACAGAAAAAGACCCTTGAGGTGATTTAAATGCTTCTGCAGAGACACCCAGATTCCAGACTCCCATGGCCCTCTGTCTCGTTCTAAAGCTCAACCAACTCAAGATAATGTCTAACATTCAAGACAGTTCTCCCAGCAAACTTTTCAAACATTTCCACAGGTTTGTTTGTTTGTTTGTTTGTTTTTCCCTGCAGTCGTATAGATGTGTATGAGTGAATTCAAATGGACTAACCAACCTCACTGGTGCTGAAAGGAACATAATTACCTAATGCATTCCAAACAGGATTTCAGGCAATGGAGCTGATCAGTGATGCTCGTGAGGTGTTCACATTGACTGGTTTGTAAACAGTGAGACGCTCACTATTGGATCTCTATGTGGACGTAGATACACGACTTACTGTATTTTAACAATAAATTACAAGATCAGAGGAGTCCACTTATATACTGTTGGAAATTGATGGCTGCTGGTTGTGGGGATCAGTGTGTGATCCTTGGTAGGTTGATCATACTCCAACAGACGGCCCCACACCCATGTATATGTAGGCTGCACTAATTAGGGTTATTAAAAAAAAAAAGAAGACGTGAAGTTAGGAGGGGGTTGTAATGAGAGGGTCTGGAAGGAGTTGGGAGGAATAGGGAATGAATATGATGAAAATATCTGTGTGTTTTAATGGCTAGTGTCCATTGTATGACCAAAGAAAGGCTCTAGCTTTCAATTGCTACATTTAAATATATGGGCCATATATCTTGGCACCTGATTATGTTCATGAATATGATGAGAATAATGTAATCCATAAAATATAAAGCATATTTTACTGAACTACCTTCATAATTAAGCTCAGATGTTGTCATCATTAAAGTTAAGTAAACTAAAAAAATGTTGTGTGTATGTATAAAATTCTCAAAAAATAAATAAAAGTATTAATATATTTTTAAAGGATAAAACAGCAAATTAGGTGTTTGTGCACCTGTCTTCCTAGCACTTGAGAGATAAAGGTAGGAGGGCCAGAACTTCAGTCATCCTTGCTACATATATGGGTTCAAGGCCAACCTGAACACAAACAAAAATATAGATGAATAAACAACAGTAATCATAGAAATAGAAGCCATTGGCCTTGTTATATGAGCTTAATAACATTGGGAAGAAAGTTGGCTGTCAGCACCTTGGTGGTTTGACTAGGAATGGCCCCATTGACCACTGTGTTTGAATGCTTGGCCCATAGGGAATGGCACTATTAGGAGGTGTGGCCTTGTTGGGGTAGGTGTGGCTTTGTGGGAGGAAGTGTGTAATTGTCAGGGTGGGATTTGACATCTTAGAAGCTCAAGCTCAGGCTCAGTGGCACACAGTTCTTTTCTGCCTGTGGATTCAGATGGAGAACTCTCAGCTTTCTCCAGCACTGTCTGCCTGCATGCCACCATGCTTCTTCCATGGTGATAATGAACTAAACCCCTGAACTGGAAGTCAGCCCCAGTGAAAGATTTTCCTTTAAAATCGCTGCCATGGTCCTGGTGTCTCGCCACAGCATTAGAAACCCTAACTGATGTTGTACCTTATCATGGTAAGGACCCAGCACGATCCAGCCACAGAAGCAATAGCCAAGGTATATCATAGCAGCGCAGCAACAGAACCTGATGACATTGGGCAGCGCTGCCTGGAGGGTCAGAATAAGGAGCTGTGGAAACAGGAGAGGCCGTTAGCATCCCTCTGCTCTTTAGTCCAAATAGTGAATAACTCAGAGTGCCTCCGTAGGATTCCTTACATTGTACTTCGCAAAGAAGCCCAGGTATCGGATGACGCCAAGCCACACCAGCATGGTCGAAGTGCCAAGAAATATGCTACAGACATCATAGCTTGTGAGACTCTAGATAAGAATGGGAAATAAAAAGTGGTTAAACAGCAACATGACAGTTGGACAAGAAATATCAAGTAGCTACATGCCAGGAGCTATTCTAGGTGTGCAGAGTAAAGCAATTGACCAATAGGGGTATTTTTTCCCCTCATGAAACTTACACTCTAGTGGGATATGTGGAGCAAAAACCAGCAATAGATGAATCAGCCTTCAATACATTCACTGATGGTAAATGCTGAGGGGGAAGGCCAGTAGTGGTGGTTGGGGAAGATAAGGAATGAGTATGAGTTTGCGGTTTGAAATAGGATGAGCAGTAAAAATCTCAATGAATTCGTGGCACAGAAGCAAAGATCTAAAAGAATTGAGTAAGAAAGTTAATCAAAAATCTAAAAGAGCCTTTGGCACATAGAGCAGCAAATACAAAGGACTGGAGGCATCAGGGACCTGTGCAAGAGTGAGCAACAGATGGGGTAAAGGATGGGCAGGATAAGACCTCATGGGCACTTAAGGTTGCTTTTGTCAGAAAAGGTCAGGGAGACTTGAGAGCCTAGAACAGGAGCGACACGAGCAAACGTGGTCTGTGTGGTTGGCAGCAGACTATGAGGGTTCTTGGAGTAATGTGCGGGAGAACAGGGCATGACTAGGTACAGCCTGGAACTGTGAAAATGATGAGGTCTTTTTCAAAGGTAGAACATGTAGATTCCCTCTGGGATTGAGCATGGGAGAGAGGAGTTTGCTAGAGGAAAAGAACTTCAGTGAATGCATTATTTGGGGTGTGAACACACAGAAAGGTGCCATTCGCAGTCACTGGAAAGGCAGCGGGAGAAGAAGGAGGCTGGAAGAGTTCTGTGTAGGCAGGTCAATTCTGAGAAGATATGTAGATAGTCAAGAGAAGATATAAGGTTGACGTTTAGATATTCAGGCTGCAACACAGAGCCTTCCCAAGCTGGAGAGGCAGATTTGGCCAATGTTGGCATAGAGATAGCAAAATATGTATATCTGGGTCAGGACAACAATACCAAGGCAGTGACGAAAAGAGCTGTCCAAGCAGGAGACCAGAAAACATTCTCACGTTGGGGGTTGGCCACAAGAGGGGGGAAGCAGCATGGAAAGCTCTGATAGACAGATAAACAGGGATCTGGAGGAGGCCTGAGCAAGTGTCACCTCAGCTAAAGAGCAACTCACACAAATCGGAGCAGCAGCAGAAGGCTGCTGGTGGGTCAGGATGGAGTGTAATGGTCCAGGGGACACGACACGAGCAGAAAGGGATTTTCAGGAAGGGGAGGTGAGGCAGCCAGATTGGAGGGCATGCTTGAAGAACAGAAGCTGGGGGATCAGCAGCAGCAGCAAGGCTAGTCACTGTTCTGAGATCTGGTAACCTGTGAGGTGGAGCAGAGAAAGGGCAAACACTCGAATAAAAGAACTAGAAATGTAATTTTGCCAAAGAAGCAAAGACACAGTGTGGGGGAGTTACAGAGAGAAACTCTGTAAGAGAGAAGAAAGAGTAACTGGAGCTGTGTCCTCCACAAAGAACCTGGGCCATCTCCTCAGAGGCAAGTGAAGGAGCTAGCCTTGGACAGTACCCTAAATCATTCAGGGTATCAGAATATACAGACACCAGAGCCAAGTAAGGTGGGGGGGATGTGGTAGGGGTCTCTCTTGCAGTTATGAAACAGGAAGTAAGGGAGGGCAGGGGGATGTGCCAAAGGCTTCAGAAGAGAAGGGGGTGGTCCAGAAAATGAAGAAAATGTTGGACATTTCCTATTAAGGGGTCACTAAAGGAAAGGGAAGCTGAGGCTTGTCAAAATAAAGAATTATGCCATGTATGGTGTGTCCCTACAATCCCACAATTTAGGAGGCAGAGGCAGGAAGATCAGAGTTCAAGGCCAGTCTCAGCTACATGTGGAATTTGATGATGACCTGGGCTGCATGAGATCCTGTCTTAGAAGTAATAAAATAAATAAATATTTACTACAAATCTACCATTCTTTTTGTTATTGTTTTCTAAAGTTAAACTGCACAAAACTACAGCTATCTACGACAGCAGCTGGTCCATGGTGACACTTTGCTCCCCTCTCCTTCTCAGGCATAGCCTACTCCTTCCCCAGATCCCACTGCAGGTGGGTTTGACTAGTTTCACTCTAGACTGTGTGAATGGGAGTGAAATCTGCTGCCCCTAAGCCAAGGCCATGTGACACCGGAAAAGCTGCCACCAGCTGGTGTTTTCGCTTCCCACAGGCTGTCACCAGCTCACGAGGCAACCCCATGTCAACTGTGAAGTCAGGTAGAGCCTTCAACATTTGACAAAGAATGAAACAAAGAGAGCTCAGGTCCCTGAATGACTGATGCTCATTGCTGAATGACTTGCCGACCTTGAACCCCACCCTGACTGTGTCAGAGGAGAGAAGCAAGCTGCCCTTTGACCCAGCCCCTGTGTGTAAAGTCTGCCTTGATCTATAACCTGTGTCCTAGGAAAGTATAAGTCTGAGCAAGATTTGTTTGAACATTGTTAATTTTATTTTATATTTTGGAGGGGAGAAAGACTAATTCTAAATTAGATTAATCTTAGTTCAAGAGGTTATCAGTGGAAAAAGTAAGAAAGTGAGCATATTTTTACATTGAGAGGACAGAGGAAATAAAGTTAAAAAACACAGAGAATTGTGCCTTGACCTCACTTCCTGCCCTCCCACAGTTTTTATTAATATTTTTGAAAATTTGAACATCTTAACTTTAACACCTTCTGTGGGAACTCTTGACAACTCTATCAAATGTGTCTCTGACTTTCAGTATGTCTCTGACACTGACAGGTTGTCTCTCAGTCTAGCACAGAGCATTTTTTGTCCACTCAGATGATGCTAAAGTATTGTTTTATTGTTGTTTGTTTTGGTATTGTGGATTATGCTTTTTCAAACTCTGTTTAAGAGACTTCTAATAGCCAGGTGGTGGTGGTATGTGCCTTTAACCCCAGCACTCAGAAGGCAGAGGCAGGCAGATCTGTGAATTCAAGACCAGCCAGGCCTACAGAACAAGTTCCTGGACAGTCAAAGTGCTATACAGAAAAAATTCTGTCTCAGAAACAAAAACAAAATATATAGAGACTTTCAGAGTTAAGACTTAACTAGAGTTAAGAAAACTGCTGTTGTCAGTTTCAAGTTAACGGAATGTAAGTCTCAGAAGAAAGCATTTACCTTGAATTTCTTCGTAGTTTAGAAAATTACATTTTACCACTGTGGTAGCACAATCGGAAAGAGCAGCTTTACCTTGGCTTGGATTTCCATTTTCAGAATTGATCCAACAATCGTCAGTATGTCACTAATGATAATCATGATGTACCAGCCGTTGATGAACTCCATCTGATCAGAGGCCGAAACTTCCTTCTTGTAGTGGAGAAGGAAAAAGTTGACAAACTCCTTTTGGGAAGAGGAGAGACACGGGTGAGCTTCCCTGTGGCCGAGAGTGTTGGGGGCACTTGGGGGAGCAGCGCTCACCTGCTGAAGCTGGAGGCCCCTAATCACAGACCTGGCACAGAGCACCAGTGAGGACAAGCAGGTCAGGATGACAAAGGCGTCAAAGATCATCATGTAGTGGGTGTTCTTCTGAACTGGAAGACAGGGGGCCGAGGGTGCACACGGATGAGGCATTCAATGATGACATGACCTCTTTTTAGAACAATTCAAGCATTTCAGAAAGACAACCAAAAGAAGTCCTATGAGCATTCTTTCCATTAGTAGTTAAAGAAAGCTGAGGGTCCTCCCTTTAAAAAAAAATAACACCCCAAATCAAAGAGCCTCAGTTATCAGTCTGTGCTGTTTATGGTGAATATGTTCTCCTTCTGGGTGTGAATGTTCACTCCGATAGTCTCAGTAGCTGGAAGTAAGAAGCAGCAGAATTACCGAGAGATCTAGGCTAGCTTGGATTATATACTAAGTTTGATGTCAACCTGGGCTACATTTAGTAAACTTCTCTCTCAAAAAAGTCAATCAATCAGTAAATAAGCCTTCCTACATTGAATACTTAGCTGGATACAAAACATTCATTAAGCACCCTTAAGTACCTGGTACTTCCTAGGTGCTGGAACAGACAGACAGACAAGGCCCTCAACCTCATGGGAGCATCTGTGACAGTGAGCCAAACAAAGGAATAAGCAGGTGTTCAGACAATACATACAGATGGATGACATAAGAGAAGTTAAGTCACACATGGGTCATGCTCTGTATACTTTTCGCCTGACTCAGTTCAAAGCACTCTGTGCGTATAGGATCCTGACAACAGCCTTGTGAAGCTGTCATGATCACCCCAACTTTGCACTTAAGAAGACTGAGGCCCCATTATGTGCCTAGGGTACACCATCAGTAAGTGGCAGAGTCAGCAAGCCCTCACAGCCTTCCAGCACCTGGTGCCGCTCTGCATCCGGTTTTTGTGTGTTTTGTTTGTTTTTAGTATTGTTAAGGCCATCCTCAGCTCTTGCCATAAAACTACTGAATTGGAAGTATGTGTCCCTGAGTCCTCCAGACAAGGCTAATGTTTCAGAGTCAGCTCTCCATGCTGGAAAAGGTAGTCAGGAAAGGGACCTCACCAAGACTTTAAATGAGTCTTCAGTGACAAGAAATGACCATCTTCCACGAGGCTTGGTGGCTCACACCTAAAGTGCCAGGGCACAAAGTTTGGGAGTTTGAATACAGCCTGGGCTATATTAGAGAGATCCTATTTAAACAACGGAGGAGGAAGAGGAAAGGAGAAAAAGAAGGGAGGAAGAAGGAGAGCAAAAAGAAAGGAATGGAAGAAGAGAGAAAAATGGAGGGGAGGGAAGGGAAAAGTTGGGGAGTGTTGGGGAAGGAAGGGGAAAAGAAGAGAGGAGAGAGGAGGGGAGCATTTGTTCAGCCATATTGAGATGCTGGAGAATCAAAAGTCATGGCCCATGCGATGGTGCCGTTGAAAAGAGTACAGAGGCAGCAGCCGCTGTGTCCACCAGTCAGGCTGCTGTGAGGAAGTGACTTCAGAGAGTGCTGTGATAAAGTATACTGCTGCTGTTTACCCAGCGGCTTCTAGCGGCTGCCCAAATGTCTAACCCTGCCTTAGAAAGACTTAAAAGCCAAGAGCCACGCATGTGAGGCGGCATGTGCTAGGCACTTTGGATGCTCCCATTTTCCCTCTCACCAGGGGCAAATCAGGCTTGCACTCCGCAGAGGTTTAAGTGTGACAGCGACGAGGCTTGTGACTTGCTTGTGATTTGAGGGCCTCCCACAACCCCTACAACAGAGACTACCCTCACGTCTGTCTGATGACCAGCACTGACCCAGCTCAGATCTACCAACTAGTGTCCAGCAGGTGTCCATCCTCTTCTTGGGAGAGCCCGTGCAATTTCTCATATGACTGTGAGCGACGTGCACTGCAGCCTTCCATTTGGGCTGCTTAAGAGGGCGTGGGAGACAGCCCACCTAAACCCCTTCCTGGCAGTGTTTTCCGGTCCTGGACAGGACTCATTCTGACTTGAACTTTTGTTCGTGTCTCTGGAGCAGACTTTTAACACATCACTACACTTTTTAAGCCAGATGGGAGACAGCCACTGTGCCATCGCTTCACAGTCAGATCCCACCTGAGTTCTCCCTTTAGGACCACCGGTCATTACACATCACTTCCAAGCCTTGGTTTCTTCTTCTGTAAATGAAAAGATGCTGCTGCTCGTTGAGATATTTAAAAACATGAACATGAGGAAAATAGGTATGTGGAGGCTTTTAGGACAGAACTATGAGTATGTAGTTGGTATGGAGGAGGCAGGTGAGGACTGTGGAGCCACAGGATGGTACTAACTAATGTGCTGACTGGATCATCAGACATCTGCCACAGACGAATCTGCTTACAGAACATCAAGGGACTTGGGACTGGCCCAGTCTTTTACTTAGTGGTCCTTACATGCTGCCGGCAGATACTCAACGAATTACTTAATGGCCGCTCTGGAAGCGAGTGGAGCTTGTTACTTACTTGATCCAGATATGTGCCAATCTTTGCATTCTCTGATAGAAATGTCATTGTCTAAATTTATTTTGATTCTTCCACTATGAGCCTTGTTGTCAAATGTTATCTGTAAAGACAGGAAAAGGAGACCAGTATGCATGCCTGGGTTTTGTAATCAAGATAGGTCTCTAAATCCACCAGGAAGCAGTTCATTGGAGGACACAGGACATGCTGAGCCTCACCTCTGAACAACTGTAACTGTTAATCCCTGAGGAGTGCTCCTTTATATATCTGTGAGTTGATAATATCGAATTAAGATCTGCTGTAGAGAGATTTTGGTGTCTACACCTCGTGTTTCTAGGATGCATTCCAGCCCTGGCCACTTTAGTAAACAAGAGTGCCTCCCCCTCTCTCCTGTTGAGGAGACTTGACTTGTGTGTTGAGTTTGTACAGGTTGGCTCTGCGCACCTTTCAACAGGACCTTAGCTTTTGGAGTTTGGGAAACTTGTGTGGACATAGAAGCATGTCATTTCTGTCCTTAGATACCCCAGGTCAAGATGTGGGGTTTTTTGTTCTTGGCCTAGGTTTCTCCATCACTCGGGTATCACATATATTACAAAGGGCTTGGTGACAGAGTTGCTAGCATGTCTTGCTTCTGAAATAACCAGTTGAAGATGCTAGGCCCACAGGACTACAACAACACAACACTTTCTGCAATCCTCCCACGTCTCCTTCTAACTCTCTCACTTCTTCCATGCGGAGAAAAGGAAGAAAGGGCAAGAAAACTCAGCTACATTTTCCTTCCCCTTCCCACCAAAGGATGGAAAGGATTCACTTAAAATCTTGAGAAGTTTATTTACTTCTCAGTTCTAAATGAACACCTGTCTCACCCTACTCCATCTTCCTCCTGAGGGAACATCACAGGAGAGGGAAAAGACTGTAAGAGCCGGAAGATGAGGAGGACTGCTAGGAAATGCTGTCTTCTGGACATAACTGGGCTCCTGCACTCATGAACTCACAGCAGCTGTGTTACCTGCACAGGATCCAGTCTGCTTTCCAGCACAGGAGAAGAGACACATGAGACTCCACCCCTAGCTGAGGAGCTCTTGGCATTTGCTGGCTACTGGAAGAGGGAGAATAATTTTTGTCTGGTCGTGTGGCCTCTTCTAAGCTGTCCATGCTCTGGGGAATAGCCTCCAACACATGCATACTCATTTATTCTGTTCCCAGAATTCACTCATTCTCTCTCTCTCCTGATCCTCTGGTATTTGGCCATCTGCTGTGCACCAAGCCCCATACAGTAGCAGACAAGATAAATCCCTGCCTTGCAGAGCATGCACCAAGGCGCAGAAGGCAAACAGCAAGTAAGCAATTCGCAGAGAGCAGAGCTAGCTGGTGCAGGGTCCCCAGGCACATTCTGGTGGCACATCCTGTATTTTTGACCATGCCTTGGCACTAGAATATGAACCACGCACCTAGATAAAAACAAACTTTCTCTAGGCAGGAGCCACCTTCAGCACAGCTCACACTTACAGTCAGAGTAAAGTCGTAACAGTCAGGAAGCTCCTGGTGGCGAATGGTCTGCAGGTTAATGGCTTTCAGCTTAAACTGAAGCTCCACCATCAGCAGTCTGGAAAGCAGAGAACGCTTGAGAAGAGGGCATGCACACGGGGCTGTGCATCCCTCCAGGGGATGCCTGAGAGGAGGGAACACACAGGGCTGAGCTGGGCTCCCCTCCGCTTTCCTCACCTGTGGAAGTCCAGGGTCAGATTGAGTTTATTTTCTCCAGGTGTTCCAGTGTGAAAAGGTTCATCTGGCTCTATAAGAAAACACTCTGCCCCACAAAGGAACAAAACCATAAATAAAACTGCACTTTCAAAGGATAATGGGTAAAATCAGTTATTCATATTATTCGTTTTTAGAATCAAGACTGTAAGAACTCAGTATCAATACAACTTGCCCTGAATCTCCTGTTTTTAAGACATAAGACATTTCTGTAGTGCTCAGATATTTAGAAAGACTCAAACTCTGTCTCAGAATGTCATCATCATCCCTGCCTCTATTTTCTCTATGCTTTACCTGTTTGTTTCTCTTTTGAATTCTTAAGTTTTGTGACGAAGGGTTCACAATGAAAATTGACACATAAGAACATCTGTATAGTTCTTCCTATGACATGAGACCAATCATCAATGTTTTTAGAGACGGCGCTATCACGGGGCTTGGATATCAAGGAGTTAAAAACAGTAGTGGAAAGTTATAGGGAATTATCACCTGTTTCAATCTCCGGGTCTATGTCAAAGGTATCATTGCCGGGGCAGATGGTTCCTTGCCTGTAGAAATGCTGACAGATTGCCATGGCCGACTGCTTAGTCCCCTTGTTCTCATAAGCGTGGTTGCCAACAGAGATGTTTCGAAGCTGCAAGTACTTTATTCAAGAGAGAGAGAGAAATGGAACAGCAATGAGGGCTAAAGGGATGCTAGTCAGGGCAAAAGCCAAGCCGAACACTACAGGAAGTAAAGCAATTACATAATGCTCATTTGCGATCCTTCTGCATCATCAGACCACATCCAGTAAGGGTTTTGAACCCACCGACACACGTTTTTGTGTCTGTCTGGTACTTCTGTCTTCATGGAGTAATTACATCAAATGCTGGGCTGCTGCGCCGAGGCTTAGATGCATTTGTGGACACTGACAGAACATGTGTTTCTCTATCGCATAAGCAGTATTACGCAACAAGAGCTGTGGGTTTGGGTGGGTTCTTTAGAAAGCAGGGGGGCTTTCACCTGTGCTCCCAGCACACGTTTTCCTATAGCAGCAGGAGGAAATGGTCCTACTAAGACTCTTCATGGAAGGAACATAGAGCTCTAACGAACAGAATGGCTTCAGGGCCAGACACAGCATTTTTTGAAGACTGAGTTTAGTCCTACTGATAAAGGTAAAGATGTTTTATGAAGAATTTACTGGGCCTTCAGCCGGGCATAGTGATTGATTTTCAGCAAGCAGGAGGCAGCAGGATCAAGAGATCCATGCCAGCCTCTGCTACAAAGTGTTTGAAGTCACCTTTGTCACATAAGGCCCTGTCTCAAAACAGCAAAAGAAATGTTATGGACTGTTTACTTCATGTCTCTACATTACCCCTAAGAAACATACAAATCTGACATGATGCTTTACAGATACTTCATAGATTTAAAAGTTAAATCTAGGGCTGAGAGATGGCTCAGAATCTAAAGCACTTACCACCAAAACACAAGGACCTGAGTTCAAATCCCCCAAACCCATGGAAAACTAGGCATGGTAGCATAGTTCTGTAATTCCAGGGTTCCTGTAGTGAGATGGGAAGCAGACAGGAACACCCTCAAGAAGCTTGCCCGCCATCCACCTTAGTTTACGTAATGATCAGCAAAAGTCTCTGACCTCAGACAAGGTAGAAGTTGAGGACTGCCAACCAAGGCTGCCTTCTGAGCTTCACACATAAATGTGCACACACACAAAACACACTCACATACACACCATTTTTTAAGTCTCTAAATTTATCTTCATCACTGAGCTATTTGCTATTTTCCCTCAAAAAGCTGTACAGCATGATTCTGTTTAACAACTTTATGTAGCTGTTGTCTCTAAGTTTCCTCTTCCCACCACTAACAGGAGCCTTGACTCCACAAAGATACATTTCATCCTAGCAGCTCATGACCTCTTATTGAATAGGTTGCCTCCAGAAAATGAGGAGTCGTGATTGCTCGGAAACAATGTTTGATGTAGGGACTTAATGATTTTTGAAATGTGATCTGTAACTAACCTAGGGCAAAAATACCTCAAAAGCGCTTTTAATTATCCCTTCAAAAGAAGTGGTTTGGAACCTTGAGAAAGTACCAATTACAGCAAGAATAACCCAGAATGAAAACTTGACTCTGGAACACGAGAAACAAGCCTCCTTCTTGTCAGTCAGGCAGGCGGCGTCACTGCGTAATCATCACCAGGCCGACAGAAAAGCCTCACTTTAAACGAGCTTGAAGACCTTGCTTGTCCCACAAACTGCAAAATTAATATTCTCATTATTTGTTGTGAGTCTAAAAGCACAAGCTTTGAAGACCTAATGACTACTGATAGCTAGGCTTATGTTAGTAACCTCAAATGCTGAAGCCCTCACATCAAATCCTGTCCCTGATTCTCTTAAATAAGTCATTCCTACCTTTCTGTCGGTAGGAAACAAAAGCTTTTTATCAACTTGTACTTGTATAAAAGTATAAAAGTATACTATAAAAGTATAGTTAGCAATATTTTTCAATCCATTTTTAAGTGTGTGTGTGTGTGTGTGTGTGTGTGTGTGTGTGTGTGTGTGTGTAGGGATACCTGCAGAGACCAGAAAGAATAGATTCCCCTGAAGCTGAAGTTACAGGCAGTTTTGAGCTTCCTGAGGTAGATTCTGGGAAGCAAACTCACATCCTCACAAGTTACTCTCAACTGCTGAGCCATCTCTCCAGCCCTTAAACTGTATTTAAGCAGTCTATTCATAAGGCATCTCCAAGCAGAACTGTTCAACACCTGGGTGTTGGTTCCTATATAATCTGTTGCTACCATTTCTCCAGCTTGTTCTTTCTCTCAAGTAAAGAATGCACACACGGTCTGGGTATCTCACCATTAGAACACTTGCCTAACTTGTACAAGGCCCTGAGTTCAACCCCTAATACCTAAATCAGACCAACAAAATCGCCAACAAACGCACACGTCCGTTTACCTGGTTCACTGCAAAGACGATCTGGTCATACACATCATTTTGGGTGTACACTGCGTATGTGTCATCCATTCGATCCATGTATCCTTTTAGGAAGAGGTGTTTGAAGGCTATAGTGTTCTCTTCCTTGAAAGCTACTACCATCTGGTTACTTAGTCCAAAAAGGACCAGCTTAAAGAAAAAAGAAACAGCGTGAACAGAAAAGAAATGGAGGCATGTGGTATAGGAGCTTGACCGGCAAGAATCTGAGAGGAAAGTGGCAGGATATACAGAAAGCTCACCACTCGGGGGCTGGGAGATGGCTCCATGGGTGAAAGCACTTCCCTTACAAGTAAGAGGACCTGAGTTCAACTCCCTAGAGTCAAAGAAAAGCCAGATGTGCCCCAGCAACCCAGTACTCCTATAGCCACATAGGAGGGGGAGATAGGAGAAGATGTGGACGCTCATGGGCCAGGTAGCTACACGGTGGAAAAGCACTCACATTCATATGCACAAATGTGCACACACACATACACAAAGAGAGGCACACACAGAGAGGCGGAGAGCTTCCCTTTCTCTGCTGTGGTTCCCGTGCTCACAGGGAGCTGTATCACCACAGAGAGGCACGCATAGGTTTAGTTTGTTTTGAGACTTGAGCATGAGCACATGTATAAAATACTGAGCTTGGCACGCAGCAACCGCCTAAATGTTCCCCGTATTTTCCTAAGTAAACAGCATTTCCTATCCAACGGTGGTAGGCTCCCCCATAGAAATGACACAAACAAGCTTTTCAGGGCTGTGACATATTGCGTCATCACCTGGAAATTAAGAATTTCAAGTGCACGTTGCCAAGTATCGTGCTGAGAACTGAGTGTGTGCTCGAGGTGATGTGTTAGAGAGCACACCTGCCACCGGGGTCTCCACGCAACCACTGAGGAGCCGAGTGGCCTTTTAAAAATGTAAGCATCAGTGTCCTCTGTTAGCTAAGGTATACCGGGACTTCCCAACAGGAGGAGGGTTACAGCGACAGAGAACGATGTCCTGGGATGGAGTGGTCACCCGAGCCTCGCGTTAAGATCTGAATCAGAATTCCACCAACTGCAAATGACTCTAGAACCTGCCTTGGTCTGCTAGCCATTAGTACTTGTTTTCAATAAGCAATTTAGATTAGTAATCTCAGTATTAAAAAAACAAAACAAAACAAAACAAAACTCTCCCTCAATGGCGGTTGTTAACCAAGAACAGAAAATAAAAATACAATCCTAAACTTTGCCTTCATTTTTGTCCTTCTGCTTCTAACAAGAGATGTTCTCTTTCACCAGCAGGAAGACCCGCCTTTTCACATTTACGTATTTTGTTTGTGTGCACATTCATATATGGAGGTCGGAGAATGATTGACACGTGTCAGCTCACACCATCCACCATGTGGATTCTAGAAGTCAAATTCAGCTTATCAGTCTTGGTGGCAAGCACCTTTGCCAGCGGAGCCATCTTGCCAACCCCCAAAGCACCTCTTAGTAATAAACCACACCAGGACATGTGGCTGTCACAAAACATGACTCCTCAAAAAAATTAAAGGAGCTATGGAAAATAGATTGAAATTTTCCTCACAAAATTGAAGGCACATATTTCACAGGCCGATGCAAACCCCCTTTTGCCAACTCCATTTTCTTCTGCTACACAAGCTTTCATGATTCAGGGATTTAAGAATCCAAGAGACTGTCTACAGCAAAACCCCATGCAGGTTCTAGAGAAAGAAGTGCCCAGAATATCAGGAATAAAAGAAATTCCTCATGTTAGTAGTCAGCTAATATCTTCATTAGGATCCAGATGTTTAAAAATGTAATTCCTAAAAACTATTGTGGTATTAAAATTAGAATAATGAGAAATCAGAATGAGCCAGGTGTCATGGTACACTCAGAGGCAGAGGCAGAGGCAGATCCATCTCTTTGAGTTCAAGGCCAGCCTCATCTGTGTATGGGGCTCAAGGCCAATCAAAGCTAAATAGGGATAGCCTGTCTCAAAAAAATTTTTTAAAGAGGGCTGGAGAGGTGGCTCAGTGGTTAAGAGCACTGGCCACTCTTCCTGAGGTCCTGAGTTCAATTCCCAGCAACTACATGGTGGCTCACAACCATCTTTAACGGAATCTGATTCTCTCTTCTGGTGTGCATGAAAAAAAAAAAAAGAGCACACAAAAGAAAATAATTAATTTGGTGGGGAGGGGGTTGGAGATTTAGTTCAGTGGTAGAGCGCCTGCCTAGCAAGGGCAAAGCCTGGGTCCGGTCCTCAGCCCTGAAAACAAAAACTTTAAAAGAGAATTGAGAGTGAGAAAGAGAGCTAAATTCATTCACAGACGTTAGAGAGAGGGTTTAGGTTTGTATCTTTCCTTATTCGATGTACACCCTTCTGCCTGCAGTTAAAGCTTGTTTTGTAAACAAGCTCTTCCACTGCCGTGCAAAGAGGCTTCCACCTCTCGTGTTTCGGAAAATGCTTACCTGGATGGTCACCATTGCAATTTTCAGAATTTGTATGGCAAGTTTCCACGGCTTCCTACCCCGGGCCCAGAACTTCTCACAAGGATTCATAAAAAAGAATTTGAGTTTCCGCCTCATCTGGTCTTCTAGGAGAAGCTGCTCAGACGGAGATGAGCTCTGGTGAAAAGTGCAGTGACTTTCATCCTGGTGAGAGCTGCAGCTGCTTACAACCACCTCGGGACTTGCCATCTCTAGGGAGGGAACCAAACAGCTCTGCTCAGCAAGGAACACACAGGCTCGTGGTTTGCTGCCTCACCGCCCCACAGTTCTGTCAATGAGGCAGACCAGAAAGACAGGGAAAAGGAATGGGGTGGGCTTCTCACGCTGAGCCTGGTTCAAGCCACTCACCAGATGAGGATGAACTATTCGAGTACAATTAACATTTGCTGAAGGCTTCCCTCCCTTTCCAACCGTAAACCTCCATTTTTCCAGAAATCTCGCTAGGAGACCCTCTTTACGGGAAAAGAACATATTAAAAACTCCTTACGCAACCTTGGAGACTGTTGGTTTTGCTTTATTAAATTATAATTCCATCCAAGACATCTCTGGAGCATCTATCATCCTACTTTTCAAAAGGAGGGAAAGAAAAGACGTTTCTTAGTAACACTTTGAGGTGTGACTTGAAAGCCACCAACCTGGAAGGCTCAGACTAGGGTTAATGCTAAGAAGTATGTGGCCCTCTCTTGAGAAGTCCATGGCCACGTGCAAGGACGTCTAATTCTTCCTTCTGGGATACTTTTCTTTATCTTTTAACCCTCATGCTCAAAAACTGTATTGAAATGTCACTAATAACCTCCAACCCTGCTTCGTGCTGGCTAGTCCTGAATTTCTTTTTCGTCTCAAAGCCAAGGATCCCGTTTTTACCTGAGTGGAAGTCCCTGAAAGATTGAGGGCGCTCCTCAGGCCTGCTGCAGATGACAGTAGTAGGGCTGGGCATCAAGCCTATTTCTCTGAGGCCTTTAGCTGCTATGTCCAAGAAAGCCCGCACGGCGGCCCCAGTGTCCGTAGAGTTATGCTGTACTCCCACCCCACATTAGGTGAGCTCCAATTAGAAGGGACGATATCAGTGTCCCATTGCCTTCAACTACCTAAGGGAATCCTCACCTACTTGAAAGTTGGTGAATTCAAGGACTGTTCCTATTAGAAAAGGTCACATGTTTGCATGCATGGCTGTGTGGGGCATGTGTGTGTTTTCTGGCTCGTTACCCAACAGATGCAGTCTCAGCAAAGCTCAGAGGCCTGAGAAACTGAATAAGGGCTTCAGAGAGTAAATGGACCCCGAAATGATATGCAGATTTTCATGTGGATATGGTCATTCATTTTCCTCTCTGGGGAGAAACGAAACTTTCCACATAATTTATTAATCAATAAATGGGCTTTATACAGAGCTGAGAACCAGTTTGGATCTTGATGCTTCTGTGGGTTGAGCCGGCCCGCTCAGCCCACACTGAGCCTCAGTCCTGCAGCATAATAATAATATCTGTGCCATCATATTCACCTTTGGTGGCAGACTAGAGAGCTGGCCTTGGGGTCCTGAGAGTGTGAGAATGGGTCATGTCCCTCCCCGGCTGCAACACTCAGGAGATCAGGCCCCGCACCTCACCTCAGCAGAGGGTAGAGCTGACCCTGAATGTGGGGTTGCACTCCCCAACACCAGCAGTATTTCCAGGGATGGAAGAACCCCTAGAACTGAGCTCTGCTACCCAGGGGAAGGTGGCCCTCTGCAGCCACTTCCCAGATGGCCCATCACTTGAGCTTGCTTGTACTTCCTAGCACATTTTACTCTTTGAAGCACGTGTAACCACTTTTTATTTCACCTCTTTGAAATAGGTAAAGAGGATTTTTCAGATTGAGGAAGAGGGGATTTCTTTTTTCAGACTAGCATGAATACTATGGAAACCCATTCACATAAAATACCCCACACTAACCAAGAGAATAGAGATCTTCCACATAGGACAGAAAACCCATCTGAGCTTACTGTCCTCTTAATAACTTGCACTCAACAATGAAGGGAGAAGAATTTAGCCTACATTTATACAACATCTGATAAGTCATACCTACTGCTTTCCAAGCCTAGAGTCACACATTTGGTATGGATTACAAACATTCTCAGCAAACCGAACATTCCTGAAATGTAGATTTGGGCTATAAAAACCAGCCATGAGGAACATTCTAAACTCCTGATTAATGAAAAGACTAATAAGACCACTGCTGAGTGAAGAAGAGAATGCACAAAACATATTACTACTTAACAGATGCACTCAGCTCCTTCCAGAGAAAACCATGATTGCTGGGAGCCAAAGCTATCTACGGAAGCCAAAGCCAAGGCTATCTAGTGAAGACTAAGCTATCTACTGAAGCCTAAGTCAATTAGTGAGTCAAAGCTATCTAGTGGAGACAAAAGGTGTTTACTAGGCCAAAGCCAAATAGTGAGCAAAGGTCATTTAGTGGAGACCTAAAGCTATTTAGTGAAAGTTATCTAGGACCCTAACTCATGGGTGAGAGACTGTGAGGACATCCCTTTGTTAGAGCATCCATGAGAAAACATCCCTAAGTTATCTTGCAGCACCCTATTTAACACATGAAAGCACTCTTCCTGTCTCCTGCAGCAGCTAATTACCTTCCCCCTTTCCTGCCTTCTCCCTATATAAGTTGGGTAAAAATTTCTAATCAACGGAAGCCTTGATCAGACAAACAGACTTGGCTCCCTTCCTTGCGCTTCTTGTCCTCCCCCCCATTCCTTCCACTCTCCTCCCTTAGGAACCCCGTTGAAGCCCCCACTGGTTGGGGCACATGATGGCATGCACTAAGTGAAGTTTTGTCCCGGTGTTACGAAACATCTCAAAGCATGAGTATATATAATAATTCTTGGGTAAAGACATAAAGGAAAGGGGGAAAAACATCCATTCTTAGGATTTTGGCTCATTATCTTATCTCCTTCGAAAGAGTAGGACCTGAAGGGCTGGGCATATGAGTGAGTAACAGAGAGCTTGTCTCATGAACAGTGTTATGTGCTCTGTCCCCAGCATGGCAAAAGAAACAAAACAAACAAACAAAACTGTGGGATAATTTAGACAGCATTTGAGGAGACCATCTGTGGGACTATGTACTGATCAGTTTTCTCAACTTACCACCACCTGCACATACCTTGGAAGAAGGAATCTTAATTGAGAAAATGCCTCTACAAGGCTGGCCTGCAGGCACATTTGTGAGGCCTTTGTTGAAGAATACTGTGGGAGGGCTCATCTCACTGCGGGTGGTGGTGCCATCCCTGGGTAGGTGGTCCTAGGTGGCACAGGCAAGCAAGCTGAGCAAGCCCTAAGGGACAAGCCAGCAAGCAGTGTTTCCCCATGGCTTCTGCTTCCTGTTTCCTGGCTTCCTACAGTCAGTGACAGTGACCTGAGAATCAAGCTGAAACAGACTCTTGCCTGTTACCACAGCAATAGAAACCCTAACCAAGACAGAGTTAAAGTAAGTTCTGTTGATATGAATAACTGCAATACAGAATTGGTTGAGAGTAAAGCCTGTTTGTGGGGTTTGAAGTTCCATGAGCCCCTTTTCCGTTACAGTACAGAGAAAATTAAACTCTAAACCACCAACCACACACCATGTAACAGTAACTTCGAGGAACAGAGAGAAACCAGCCAGCCACCATTAATTTATTCAAAACGCTGTTCAAGCTGTTCCAAATGCCAGCTTGGCTGCTAAACCTGCAAATCTGGGGAGCCAGCCTCACTGGCTGACCAGGTATGGGCAACTGCTCTTTTCCCTGACTATCAAGGCCTGCAGGGGCCCAGCTGAAGTCTATTTCAGGTGTCAGGGTGCTGGCCCTAGACTGGCACACAGACTTACTTATTCATGGCAGCCAGAAGCTAAACTGGGTTGAGCTGCACAGAAGTAGCCATAGGGAGGGAAAGTGTAATTGGAGAAAGGGTCACAGACTGCCACAACCGGCCTCTTCAGCTTTGGAGCTCCTGGCCAGACAGTATGCTCTTTTCTTCCCTCCCTCCCTCTTTGGCTCTACAATTTGACAAGTCTGTGACTTCAGGCGACTCCCTGTACCCACCCTGAGGGAGCCTCCGTTTCCACTACTGCAAAATGAGAATAATACTATTCTCTCTGCCGTCCCTCATTCCTTTTTGATTCCGTGTCCACGGTACTACCTCTGAGGTGCTGCTTCCTAGCCAGAAAGCAAAGTCTGGCCTGCTGCCATCCAGACACCACACCCTGAGGCCGTTGGGCTTCTGCACGCTGCTGGAATCTGACAAATTCAGAACCCCTGCTGCTTTCCCCATTTCTACCCCTGGCCAGGGGCCTTTGGTAACAAAAGGATGGGCCCAAGTTAAGGGCAGACACAGACGCCTTCCAGCGGTGGTTACTGGAGGGAGTCGATCCCAGGCTTCCCAGAAAGAATGATCAGGAGGACTGAGGGTGGCATCCTGCACTGGATTCTCATCACCTGCTTCCCGGGAGACACAGCTGGCACAGACAGGCACGACTCTGCCGTCATCTCCAAAACTCGCTGAGGTGACACAGGGAGGGTGTCCCCATCTCAGCCATGAGCCCCACTGACCTGTGGTCCGTGGCGGAGCCCCGGTTGTGCCAAACCGGTGCATCTCGCACTCCGCTCCCCTCTGTGTGCCCTCCATGGCGTTGATGTCCTGGGCCCCTACCCTCCCGCTCTGTGTCACCGACGGCTGGAGCCATCGGGCTCCCTCCCAGGGCTCCGCAGGCCAGGACACCTGATGCCCCCGGGGCGGCGCCGGGCTAGGCTCACCTGCCGCCCCAGTCAAGCTGAGGGGGCGCGGGCGGGAACAGCGGGGACCTGCAGGGGACCTACAAGGAGGCGTCAGGTCCTGACAGCAGCTGAGGGACAGGGCATGTCGGCGCAGGGTCACCCTCTGCTTCAAGCCCGACGGGCTCCAGCCACCCTCCTTTCTCGGGCCCCAGCCTCGTGACCCTCCTCCCCAAGGCTCGAGTTCCCTGCCACGCCCTTTGTGGGGCGGCCTTTCTCTGAGACAGGTCGGGAGGGGAGACTGAAGGAGTGTGACTGTGGCGTTGTCTTCCACACCTCATTCTCTGTGCTCCAACAGAACATTCCCACTGACTTTCTCTGTGAGCTGGAAAACACTGGTGAGATGGACCACCCAGGGACCATTCCAGCAGGTGACCATCCCAGCGGCTGTAAACAGGGTGTCTGATACACACTGAGGCTCACCCAGGTCTGGCTCGCAGACCTGCCCTGCTGAACGTTGCAGACAAGGTGAACTCAGAAAGCATAAAGCATCCATCCAAAGCCTTGGACTGTAAGTCAAAAGACGGGAAATAAAGGGCTGTGGACTCTCCGGGGACTAAGGCACAGGCACTAGAAGAACCCTGGGGAGTCCTGAGAGGCAATGTGAATACAAATCTGTCAGGCAGGACCACAGGAAAAGCGCTTGCCTTGCACACTTGAGGAACTGAATCAGTCCCCCAGAGCCACTTGGCACCCACAATCTCAGTCCTGGGGGGAGGTCAGAAACAGGAGGATCCCTGAGCTCATTGGCCAGCCTGTCCAGTCTAATGGGTGAGCTCCGGGCCAATGAGAGAGCCTGTCTCGCTGTGTTCTTGAGAATGGCACACCATAGGCAGTCAGCGCCCTGCCGCAGCCACGCACGTGCAGCAGCACGGCCACACGCCGGGGCATCCTCACACACACTGGCACACACTCACACACGCACCTTTTAAGTGCCAGGCTGGAGGAATGGCTCGGCCCTTTGGAGCACTTGCTGTTCTAGCAGAGGACCCGAGTTTGGTTCCCAGCATCTGGCAGCAGCATACATCATCTGTAACTCCAGTTCCAGGGTACCAGGTGCCCTACGCTGGCCCCTGAGGACACCACACAAACATGGAGTCAAAGCACTTCTACATGTAAAATAAAAATAAATCCTTACTGCAAAGGCTTGGGAGCAGACTTTAAACTGTGGCCTTTTCTTTACAAAGTCCTTCGAGCTGTTTGACGTAGCATCAGGAATAGCAGGGACTTTGGCTAATTTTAATTACAAGCGCTTGGGATTTGTTTAATTTTTTGTTTTATTTTCATTATCTTGGGGCATGAATACTTACCTGGAAGGGACAATACCATAACCATGAAGGTGGTTTTCCCAGGGTGAGGCTTGTCCATTGGGCTGCAGATGCTCTGACCCCTGTGACATCCCTAAATTCAGGAAACTGCATTAATTTGTGGTAGTGGGAGATTATATTTGAGCTCTCGCCTGGAAACATAAATAGATTTTTTTAAGTTGTAAAATAAGTAAGATTTCCTAACAGATTTTTTTCACAAATTATATCAAGTAGGCAGACCATTTTGCAAACTTTTTTCAACTCCTAGTTCAGTTCTCACAGGCAATTTATAAATGGGACTGTCTTCTTTTATGTCTTTTTGTGTGGGGAAGTGATTTTAGTTTTGTTTTGCAATGGAGTGCAAAAAGTTTACGCTGTTCATTAGCCCGAATCCCAAGTGTGATGGACAGACGAGCTAGATACTCAAAGGATATAACTGGCACACTGTATTCCCATGTGCAATTTGGAAGCATGATTTAATCTCCAATGCCCATATGTCTCTGCGTAGCTTAACACCATCTTCTTGCTTACTGTAGCTGAGTTTGAAATGCGCAATTGTGCAGAAACCATCTGAATTTTGGAGAGGCTTGCAGAAAGAAGTGATGAGCCTCCCTCAGCCCTAGTTCAGCTGAGCTACGTCTGCTAGGGAACAAGGAACATCAGGCTTTGGAATCAGTTCAGTGAGGGTCTAAATTCTTCTATGTCACTTATGGACTTATTGGTAAGAAGTCATCTACTCACCCCTCCTCCGCACTCCCTTTCATGTCTAATCTGTCTAAGGAAATTAGAATGCTGAATATATAATTATTTGTTAATTAGTAAAGGCACATGTTAAGTAAAATGACACATGCAAAGCACTCAGATCTTACATGCCTACAGGTGTTCGCTCTTGGTTTTTGGACAAACTTAATGAAAAAAATCAACTATGGTCATGAATTGCAAAGACTAATATTGTTGAGATGTTAATTTTTGCTCAGTTCATTTATAGGTTGGATCCAGTCCTCACGGGGATTCTAACAACCTGGTTTTAGAACTTGACGAACTAATTCTAAAACTCATGGCAATGCAAAGAGCCTAGAATAACAACAGTTTTTTTTATAAGAACAGAACTAGAATGTTTGCCAGGACTCTTAACGCTGTCTGAGCAAAAGAGTTGCAAAATATACAAAAAGGGTACACCTCAACCCTGGAGCAGCGTCTGGAAATAGGGTCTTATGCATGCATCTGGTCTGTTGGCTTTTAATAAAATAATATCCAGGGGAAAATTAACCTCAATAATCAGCATGGTGATGTTATTGGCTCAATAGAATGTAGTGATGGGACTAAAGAAATGGATCCGTGGATAAGACAGTTTCCTGCTCTTGCAGAGGACCTGGGCTCAGTTCCCAGCACCCACAGGGCAGCTCCCAACCAACTAACGCCGGCTCCAGAGGCTACACCACCATTTACTGGCTCTCCAGGTGCGTGCACACATATGGTACACAGGAACTTCACACACGCACACACAAGTAAAAACAACCTTTTTAAAGTGGTCACAATACATTGACATGAAGCCTAGAGAAAAACGGGCTTTGGCATCAGAGTCAAATGTTTGGGTAGACATTTCTGGAAAACAGTGCAAAAGCGGGAAGGTGAGGCAGTTAGGATCCGATCAGTCTTGCTTCTCACTTTTGCCATAAGTATGTGTTCCTGTATTCCTGCTGATACATCAGCCTCAAATAAAACAAACATCCGCACATTTATACACATGCAACACATACTAATCCTATGAATGGCTATTTCAAAAAGGAAGCTTTGGAAGTAATGTAAGACTCAAAGTTGCCATTTTAACTTAAGATGTTGTATCAGTGTTGCTAGGATGTGCAGATGTATGGTTCAAATATTACCCGATCTACCCCATTGTGTTTCCTAGTGTTTGAGGCATGCATTGCATAAGAATCATTTGATCAACAACACGTGACCTCTAAGATGATGGACCCATGAGATGAAACTAGAGCTGGGACACTCCCAGACCGAGCGATCTGCCATCGCAGCATTTCCTGTCTGTGCACCTCTTGGGATGGTACAGGTACGAACAAGCCGACTGTGCTCACGAGCCTCATCGGCCCGGTGTGTATTGTACAAATACCTGTGGTGCTTTGAGTGAGAATGTCCTCTAGGGACTCGTGGATTTGAACTCTCGGTCCGCGGTTAGTAGCCTTGCTGGAGAAGGACGCCGGTGAGGGCAGGCTTTGAGAGTTACAACCTCAAGCCACTTCTAGATTGCTCCTTCTCGTTCGTGTGTGCAGTTCCTATGTGAGCTCTTGGCTTCCTTTCCCAGCTACCTCCTGCCTCTTCCTGCTGCAGTGGACTCTAATCTCCCGGAGCTGTAAGCCAAGGTAAACTCTGTAAGTCTCATTGCTTTATCACAGCAGCAGCAAAGTAACTAATACACCATCCAAGAGTGATAAAGTTGCGGTCATCGCCTGTATTTTTTATTGTATTTTCAATACAATAAAAAGTTAAGAAGAAGAAAAGTTAACTGTAGAACAGGCTTAGGGGGAATCCTTTTGGAGGGATTTCCAAAGGGCATCAACACCAGAGCAGATAGCAGCTCCATGCGTATTAATGCCCTTGCAAACCATCTAGTAGGACAAAGTTTTCAAGTGAAGGAGACGAAAATGATGATCTTGACCTTTCATGGTCCTGGGTTCATCAGTGGGTTTTGTCTTCATTTTTAAGAAAAAGTAAACAATGTCAAAAAAAATATGAGATATTTTGTGGAATAATAATATAAAGCAAATGTTTTCTACAGCTGCCCAGTATGCTTGTGTGTAGGCACTGCTTTTTAACCCTACTTTATTTTGTTTTCTTCCTCCCTTTCAATCCCTCGGACCTAGGCAGGAGAAAAAGGTTAGAAGGGATGAGGACATAGAACTCTTTGTAGTCAGGATACCCAGCAGTCCAGCTAACCAGCAAACCAGTGAACACACCAGCACCGGCCTTCTTCCTTCTCTGACCCTCTCCTGGAAGCCTCCTCTTCCCCTCTCTTGGGCTCAGGTATTTTTACACTCTCAGAGTCCTCAGAGTTCAACTATCTCCTACTGGCAAAGACCACCCCCTCTCCAAGCCACACGATGCAGTGTTAGCTGTGGTGGGTTAACTAAAAATAGCTCCATATCCCACACTGTGGATTAAAACAAAAACCAATTTACATACTTGTTGTGGTCAATTTTAAAAGTATGGCCTAATGAACCTTTATTATTAGGCTATAATTATTACAATGGTATTCTCTAACCCGTTGTCAATCAAGTAAAGACACAGACACCCGCTGTATTTTATAAAGTACTTGGGGCATTGAGATATTAAACCCCTAAACTAACCTTGCCTCTCAGCCCCATCTCGAGCTACTTCCCATCCACAGTCCCAAAATACTTATTAATGTTCTCCATCTCCTCCTCCACACTCCTTTCCCATGCTAACCCATGGCTCTGGTAGGTCAATCCATTTCCTTCTCCTCTGACCCTCTTTCTTCTCCTTCCTTGTGGTCCCTCAGCCCCAGCCTGTGAACCCCAAGCTTCTCCTCCCTTTCTTCTGCCAAATCCCAAGCTTCAGCATTTTTTATTAACCAATCAGCTTTAAATTAGGTGGAGCAAGGTTTACACAATAAGGACAGGTATATGTGAGAATGTGCTCCTCTGAGCAAAGACAAGATCTTGGAGGCCAGTAATTAACATTAAAATACATAGCACCAGGGCAACCCCCAACACATAACATAGCTGAGTTTCTAAAGAAACCAAAACTTCCACTACACATGTGTGTTTATTTTACTATTGTTGAGAATGTATTTTGCATTGTTCCCTTCTTGTAATTATTTCTTATTATAA